CTGCAATTAGAAAACAGAAAAAATAGTCTCATAAATATAATAGAATAAAAATAATTTTCGAACAACAATTAAATTAAAATCTCCATACATTGAATATTGCTGTCACATCTGGTCGGCAGTTTCTGCTATGTATTTAGATATTCTTGATAAATCACAAAGAAGAATCTGCAATATTATCGGTCCTGATCTGACATCTTGTGTTTTGCTTAATTTCCCACCGCCGTAACATAGTTTCCCTGTGCCTTTTCTATAAATATTTTCATGCTAATTATTCTTAGGAGCATTCCGGTTTCGTACATCGACTTTACGAATTCATTTTCTATACTAGACTTGCAATCAGATTTCATTCTTTTTCAGTTGAAATTGCTAGATGTAACCGTAAGTTCTATGCGAACAGCTTCTTCTCTCGCTCGTGGAACTTTTCGACCTGTCGCTTTCCGGTCAACTTTCATCTTTAAAATTCTAAATGCAATGTCAATCGTTATCTACTGTCTTCCTAATTCCTGTGTTTTTATTGTTCTCTCTACTTAATAATATTTTTTCGTACTCATCAATTCCCTTTCATCTTTATTTGTTTGTGGTGAAATGATCTTTTTTAAAAAAAAATTAAGAACGAAAAACAGTTAATGTGCTATTATTTTTTATCTCCCATCAGGACGTAGGCGATCATGGCTCTCCACCACCTCCTGTCCCTAGCAGCTCTTAATAAATTTTGTCTTAGAGTTCCTTCTCCAAGACCCTATCCTGTCATCCACTTGCTCAAGTTCATTAAGTATGTTACGCGTTGTTTTCCCCTGTTCTTCTTTTCCTCTAACCGTCCTGTGAGTATCAGATTTTCCAAACCCTCCTTCCTCATTACATGTAACAGAGACTTCCCAGTATTCGCTGCCATGCAGGAGAACTGATATACGGAACAGTTCAGTACTTTTTTCTTTGTTTCCAACGAAACTTTCCTGTCTCGTAATGTTCTGCTTAGCCTTTGGAATGTGTGTTTGGCCATCCCAATACGTCTTTGGATCTCAATGGCGCACTTACTGTCCTCTGTCAGAACACATCCCAGATATTTAAATTTCTTTGCCTACTTGTAAATTGCATTTTGGGTTCATCTTTTCACTGATCACCATGCATTCTGTTTTCTTGTAGTTTATGCTTAGTCCCTTCATCTCGCTTTTATTCGCTACTTTCTGTAGGAGGTTTTATAGTTTCTTTTCCGTGTCTGCGATCAGCACAGTTTCATCTGCAGAAATTATGTTGTTAAGATTGTGGCGCCAATGATGAATCCGGGTAGGACTTCCAATTCTCTCAGGAATAACCTCGCTGTATAGGTTAAATAAATCTAGTGAGAAGACACATCCTTGTCTGACATCCATTTCTGTATATCTTCTGAACTCATTTTTTATACGTATGAAGGCTGTTTGCTACCAGTGGAGATTTTTGATTATTCTAATGTCTTTCCCGAATATCTCAAGGTTGCTGAGCAGCTCTAACAGATCTTTTGAGCTTAATTTGCCGGACGCCTTTGCGTAGTCTATAAAACACAGGTACACGTTCTTCTGCATTTGTATTGCTCTTTCTGATAAGATTCTGAGTATAAACATTGTGTGTTCCTTGTTACGATATAATCGCCTCAAATTTGAAGAAAATGGACTTCTGTAAATTTCTGCAAAGATGTAAGTAGATGCGAAATAGATTCTTGAAGGAGTCAATATTTGAAACAGTTGGATACTGATTACCAATCAGCAACTTCTCGTCATTTATAGGTTTGTATTAATCGAAGATTGCTAGAGAAAATCCCTCTAATATTTTGCTAAGAATAGATTTTCTCAGTATCTGTCTATATTTCTGAGATGAGGTGTTATGTACACTACTTACATTATTCGGACTATTGTCCCCAGTTTTGTTGTCATATTTATCACAACGTTCATGCACTGTGCCATGTGTCCAGTGGATAAAGGCGTTAGTTAGATCCAGTGACAGGACCCAAAGAGTTGTGAGTTCAATACCTGGTTAAGGCAGTGCAGAACTTAACAGGAGATAACTGATAACTGACATTCATTAGACATAGCACATGGAACTAGAACAGTCTACCCCAGCGAGGGAAATAAAGGGTTCAGTTTGACAATCCAACCACCTGAAGAAGGCCGGAGCTTACAACAGCCGAAACGTTGTGATACATATGGCAACAAAGATGAGGACGATAGTCCGAATAATGTAAATATGAGATTTTCATTTTAAAAAAAATTTCGTTTCATAGACAAGTTCACAGAGCGAATACAGAGATGTAAGATTTAAATTATCACTGGACGAAATAAAGTTTACTTTTTATTTAGATTTATTACGACAGAATCGAACATTAGCCTTCGAGATGGACTCGAAAGCCATTGCATTATAGCAGTCGGCCTATTGATTTCTTTTGAAAGAAATGAAGTTTCATTTACTTCAATGCGAAGTTTACTTCTCGGAAAACGTAGCAGAAAACAATTTCCTAGCATTCCAAGGAAAACAGTGAGAATTTGAACTAACGATTTTAGGAAATCTTTTCTTTATTTCCATCGTCTTTTCTATCTTTTTTCTTTTCGTTTTATTCAGTGAAGATTATTTCTCTTTTTTTATTTCTCTTTGCTATCCGTTATCTTTTCTTTCTACTTTTCATTCATTTTGGCTTGAGATCCAAAGACTTTGAAATAAACGTGATTCCTTTCTCGACACGTGTTGTTCAGCAATTCCAATCTCACTGGACATTGGTAATGAAATTAATCGAAAACACGTGCTAGTGTTTTTTTGTTTGGTTTTTTTTTTTTTTTTTTTTTTTGTTTTGTTTTTTAATCATCTCACCCCCAAGTAACCCAATAAAGGCCACTAGGATGCAAGGGGTTACAGAGAGTTAAAGAAAGAAAGCGGATCCATAAAAGAACAAGAATGTAAGAGAGAGAAGATTAAAATACAAATGTTTGAAGATCATATTTGACAGGAAGGCAGAAAGTCGGATGAGAGTTCCACAAGTGAGAAGTATAAGAGAAGAAACTATTTGCGTAGAACTTACGGTTACATCTAGCAATTCCAACAGGAAAATGATGATACCGAGCTGCAAATTGTAGCTTTGTTTTGCACTTGAATATTTTAAACTAGGTAAATATTGTGAATATGGTGAAACAGTCATCAAACACCACTTTCAACACTGTGACTTTGATCAGCACTGGGTGGTTGCAGAAAATATTAAGTTCGGTAAAGATTATCAAAAGTGATGGACATTTGTATGTGAATGTATGCACACGTTTGTGTCTGCATGTGTGTCTGTGTGTTTCTGTGCATATGTGCTTCTATGCATTTGTGTTTGCATATGTATGTGTTATTTACTTCAATCTTTTGACTTACTACCAAATATTTAATGTCTAAATTTATACAGGTAGCACTCACAAGAATAATGGAATGCCAATATACATATATATACATATATATATATATATATATATATATATATATATATATATATATATATATATATCAGTTATCGTGCCCAAAAAATCATTTTCGTCAGAGTCCATTTTGCAAATTTTACAAATCTACCATTCGTCCGTGCATTGAATACTGCTGCCATATCTGGTCTGGTGTTCCTGCTATTCATCTCGAGATTCTTGATAAAATCCAAAGAAGGATCTGCAATGTAATAGATCCTGACTTGGCATCTCCACTTTAGTCAGTTTCTCACCGAGTTGACATGACATCCCTCTGTCTTATCTACAAATATTTTCATGGCAACTGGTGCCCTGAATACATGAATTTAATCTACGTTGCACCGGTTTACGTTGAAATAGCTAAATACAATCGCCACTACTACGCCAATACCTTCTTTTAGCGTACTTCCCGTCTGAGGAACAGATTTTCGTTTACTTTCTAAGTTCTAATGCAACGTCAATCAGCATCTTGAATGTCATTCGTCTTTTGTCCGTTCCTCAATCCTCCCTATACTCAGTCTTTTTTTCCCCTCACTTTCACTCCCTGTAACTCCCTGCATACTAGTGGCATTACCGCCTTGCTTGGGATGCAATGATTAAAAAATAATAATAAAACGAATATATATATATATATATATATATATATATATATATATATATATATATATATATATATATATAAAATAGATAGTTTGATAGAATTTTTGCTGCCATGTTTACACCTTATAGATATATACAGGGAGTATAAAATTAGGTATACAGTAATGAAAAAAACAAAACGTACCCAGAAAATGTATCGTATTGATTATAGAAACATATCAATATAACACTAGTAATACTGGAATAATACTTACTGTATACCTACTTTTGAAGCCCACTCTATTATTTATATATATATATATATATATATATATATATATATATATATATATATATATATATATATGTATGTATGTATTAACATGCACATTCGTAGTGTTTTTTTCTTAGCCAATTATTTACCCATTTCCAACATAGCTATTCATACCTCACAAAAATACATCCATTTACAAGAAATTTTAATCTCTCGATCTTTTCTCTATTTCAAGATTCCTTGGGCAACGGTGCCAATTTAAATCGGTCTCCCAATTTTCTCTAAAACTTACGCTCTTCGTGGTTGTCACTCTTCAAGGTTGTCGCTCTTTATTTATCTTCACGTGCCTTTATGTTTTATCGTCTACTCTTTTCCAAGATTTTTTTTCTCTTCTTGTCTCCATCTTGAATTTCATTATGTCACCTCACCAATCCCTTATTTCTTCTTCAAACTTTTCATATGTTCTTCGACCGTCGGTTCTTTTTTAACTTAATTTTTTTTAGATATTTTCTTCATTATTTCGCTCTGTTGGAGGTTTCATGATCTTTCTTCTTTGTTATTCTGTCGATATTTCGCATGTCTTTATTTTAACCTGCCATTTTTCTTCCTTCTTTCTCGATTTTCTTCTCTCTTATTATATTTTGTAACTTGTTTAACCTTACCGTTTAAAAAATATTTAAGTAATCGTACTT